CGCAGACCTCTCCTGCCGCCCGCTGCTCCCCTCAGCAGCGTACTTTGGTCCTTCTGCCTGCTCTGCTCCCCACTCTGGCTCTGGTGAATTCTCTCACCCTCCCGCGCTTCTGACTGTACCCAGTGCTTGTATAAATAAATAAAAATAAATCTTTATATAAAAAAAAAGCAATTCAAATTCCACTAATAGAACAGGATGGTGGTTGCCAGAGAGGAAGGGACACTGGGGATGGGGCAAATGGGTGAAGGGGGTCAAGAACTACAAATTACCAATTATAAAATAAGTTAAGTCCTGGGGATGTGATACACATGAAATAATTTGGGGTAATTGGAGAAGTTTTAATATGGGCAATTAAAATGATAAAGATATAGTTACTTTTCTTAGGTATGATAATGGTATTATGGTTAACATGGACTATATCCTTATTTTTCAAATATATACGCTGAAAGGAACTCCCTGGTGGCACAAGGGGTTAAGTCTCAGCACTATGAAGCTATCGACAGCCTCTGCAGCATGAGTTCAATCCCTGGCCAGGGAACTGACTCACATGGCACAGAAGACCTCTCCTGTCTCGCCCCCTGCTCCCCTCAGCAGTGTATTTCAGTCCATCTGCCTGTTCTTCTCTCTTCTCTGTCTCTGATGAATTCTCTCACATACACCCTCCCCTGCACTTCTGGCCTATATCCCAGCTCTTCTTATGCCCCAAAAAAGAGATGTATACTGAAATTTTTAGGAATGAATGTAGTGATCTGTGCAACTTATTACTTTAATTAATTTAATTATGAATTATTGGGGGATCTAGGTGAAGGGGATATAGTTGTTTGCTGTATTACCGTTCAAGCTTTTCTGAAGGTTTGAAATGAAAATGAGTGTATAAAAAAATAGGGAAATTTAAAAACTAGTGTGATTTCACATAACAACAAACCAAAATGGTGCTTTCATCTCACATAGGATGGAAAAATTTCCACAAGTGGGCCTCCCTGGTGGCACAGGCAGTTGAGTGCCACACTGTGAAGCTGTTTGCAGCCTCTGCAGTGTGGGTTCAATCCCGGCCAGCCAGGGAGATATCAACATGGTGCAGCAGACCTCTCCTGTCCCACCCGCTGCTCCCTCAGCAGTGTATTTCAGTCAGTCTGCCTGTTCTGTTCCCCACTCTGTCTCTGGTGAATCCTCACATCCTCCTGCGCATCTGGCATGTACCCCAGCTCCTGTATAAATAAAATAAATCTTTAAAAAGAAAAAAAAGAAATGCCTTTATCATTAAAAATTTTTTTTTCTACAAGTATTCCACACTATGGACATGCTAACTTTGGAAATGTCACATTGTAATGTGCTGTAAGTCTCTTCCCAGAAATGAAAGAAGAGGAAGTAGAATCACTTGGTTCTAGCTTTCCTGAATACTGAGAACCACAAATTTTAATTTTAAGTCATCAAGGTCAAAGTTTTATTTTTGTTAATGTGGTATTTCCCCTTAATTACCCCATCAGCTAAAGGAAGAATCCATCAACGCAAAATGCAAAGTTAAATGTATGAGATCTTCCTTATATGATACAATATCCCCTCCATTTTTTTCTGATCTGGAAGTGAAGAAAGCATGATTCCCTCGCTTGTGATATAACCTCTGTTCCTTTTTTTAAATTCTGGAGGTATAAAATTTAAAACACAAGGATAGTATTATAGTTAATGACTCTTGAGTTTAGTTAAATAAAGCTTTTTCTCTTGACAAAATTAGGGGTTTTTTTTTGTTTTTTTTTTTTTTTTTGCCTACTCTTATCCTTAGCAATGCATGAAATTAAACAGAGTAGTGAAGGGGCTTTGTCTAGGGGTCACGCTGAGGGTCTCCCTCTCTGTGGGAGGGGCGTGGTTGCTCTACAAGGATTGGGGTCAGTTCTGCATGAATGTCCTGCCTTGTGCCTCCTGGTGGGACAGGACTGTGGCTCATGGGAAGAATCTGGCAGTTGGCATTCTGGAACAGTGTAAGTCTTTTAGAAGCCAGGGACTGAGCATTTCTTACAAAAGGATAAACTTAAATACCAGTAGCACTAAGAACCTTGCTGCAATGGGACTGGGTTTATAATATGCTGCATGGTGAGTAATGAAGACAATGGGCTGTCAGCACATAATGCCCAGCTGTGGCTATAAAAGGAAAAAACCTGGGCCTCCCCGGTGGCGCAGCTTGTTGAGCGCTGCTGTGAAGCTGTCCTGGCCGCAGCCTCTGCAGCATGAGTTCGATTCCTGGCCAGCCAGGGAAATACCCACATGGCTCCTCAGACCTCTCCTGCCTCGCCCGCTGCTCCCCTCAGCAGTGTCCTCGGTTGATCTGCTTGTTCTGCTCCCCACTCTGTCTCTGGTGAATCCCCTCACCCTCTATCCTGTACCCTATCCTGTACCCTAGTTCTTGTGTAAATAAATAAATCTTTAAAGAAAATAAATAAATAAAAGGAGAAAATCTGAGGAATATTAGCCATGGCCCAAACCAGATGCAAGGACACTAGAAAGTAATATGTCTCTTGAGCTCTATCACTTTACATTCCAACAATAAGTTGGAATGCTAAACCCTGTTAGTGTAACTAGGAGGAGTGAGTTTGGAGTATATATTTTAATATTCACTTTTGATATTTATGTTTGCCATTACTTATAGAGACATAATTTAGCTGGCTCTGTAAAATTACTATGTGTAAAATTACCTTTTATCAGGGGGTTAACATCCCAGGAAAGGTATATAAGGCTTAATATATTATCCAATACTGCTAAATGGCTACCATATTGCCAAAATGATTATAATGCTCATCTTATAGATAAGGATGCTCTGTATAGATATAGAAAGACGTCTTCAAAATTAAGTCCATATGATGGACCAAATCCATTTTCTTAAATATACCCAGTGACTCTCAAACCCGGCTTCATTGCTGCACCTCCCCCTGCAGTGACCTTTAGGGCTAACCATCCCTAGGTCCAGCTGGGCAACCAGCGCGCAGGGGGAGAACAGCAAAACCCCTGAAGACACACCTGCTGCACCTCCCCCTGCAGTGACCTTTAGGAATGGCTTTCGCCACGGTCCCTAGGTCCGGCTGGGCAACCAGAGCGCAGGGGGAGAACAGCAAAACACCCTGAAGCAAAGGAAGTACAGCAGAAGTTCCCTGAAAAGACAGAAGCTTATCAAAAGATAATGACCACCAGGAACCACTACAAGAATGCTAAAAAACCTTATCCCCTCTTTCTAGAACTACAAACTTTAATCCCTTATTGTCTTTCTAAACTTCCTCTTTCTTCTATAAAGGTCATTGCTTGTTATGTAAATCACCACCCTGATGGTGATAGGCTGAGCCCATGAGCAAGCTGATTTCATTGATATTCATTGTTCCTGTGCTTTTGGAAAACATATATATACTGGTCACAAACTCAAAGAAAATTACACTCAGATTTTCACTCTTGAAGTGCGTCTGTTTGTCATTTCTTTCACCGACGCCCTGACCACCCTGCACGCTTCTCTCAACCCTGAGGTGGCCTCATCGTGTACTGCTGTGCTGGTCCGCGGCAGGTGGCACCCGAACGTGGGGCCCCGACATTTCATTTCATTTCATTGAGTCTTCCACCCAAAGAAGAGGCGAGTAACGAAGAGATCGTGTTGGGTAAGCTATCTCCCTTCTTGTGTGTGAGTGTGAATGTGATTCCCTTAAAATACCCTCTTTTAAACAGTCAGGGATAGGATCCTCACTGGAGCGTCCGGAGCTCGCTGATAAAGGGTGATCAGTTTGAAATAGTGAGAAGTTTTTCTAAGAGTGAATGCTCGTGGTGCTGTGTGTGTGTGAGAGTGTATGAATACGGCTCCACGGCCTCGTGGCTATGGAGTCTGAGTGGGCTGCACCCGCGATTCCCGTGGAGGAACGTCCTACAGCATAACGGTCATCTGCTCTTCGGAGTAGCCTGGTCCGGGATTTATACGGACAGACCTTAGCTAAGACGCCTCCGCAAGTTCCCGCGAGGGACACGGGCCGGACAGCACAGTTGAAAGAAATCTTTGCTTGAGCGAACAAAAGCACCACGAGACCATGGGTCAACAGCAGACCAAAAACAGAGATCTTTTTCTATCTATATTAAAAAACATGATTGAAACACGTGGTATTAAAGTAAATAAGAAAGCTCTACTGCAACTTTATGAATTTATATTACGGGTATGCCCATGGTTTCCAGAAGAAGGTAGTTTGTCACTGAAAACTTGGAAGAAAGTAGGAAAAGAAGTGAAAGAGTTTTATGCCCTTCATGGACCATCTCAGGTTCTGAGACAGGCTCTGTCCTTGTGGGTACAAATTAGAGATTTGTTGGTTGATGCCACTGAGGCAGAATTGTGGGAAGGCCAACAGAATGAAGTTCAGGATAATCCTAAAAACAATAATGATCTAAACACGTCATTATTCGCTCAAGCCTCTGCTCCTGTATTAAAGGAATCCCTTTCCCAGTCAGAGGATGAGTTTAATGATCATGAATATACTGAAATGCTAGATAAATTAACTTTCAAAAATGATAAACCCTCCCGCCCAACCGCTAACCTTTTTCCAGTTGTTACCAAACCTAACATTGCATTACATAATAATCCTAATCATATCAAGGCCCATCGAGGGCCGCTGGGTGGCATTCTAGGATCAGCAAGGGAGGCCAGTAAGACGGGAGATTTTTCATTTGCCTTTCCCGTGGCCGGACCTCCGACCTTGACTCGTGCTGATGACGATGGCCCTGCATGGGAGGCCATCCCTATAAAAACTATAAAAGAATTACAGTTAGCTGTTCAGACAACAGGTCATAATGTTGTAGAGCAACCCCGATACAAAACGGGGTGCCTGACTGTGGGTCCTCACCCGCGCGCTTAAAAGGACTTATTAATGCTCTACTGCAGGCACACGTGAAAGGTTAATAAAAGGTTTATTTACAAGGGAAAGGGAAATGAGGAAATGTACAGCTCTGGGAGAAAAGTGGGAGACAAAGTTTTAAATGAGTCCTACCCGATCCGCCGATCAGGAATCCCAAAATGGCGCTCTGAGAGCTGGCCGCCAGCCAGGAGTGGTGAAGCCAGGAGGCGAGCGATCGCGAGCCAGAGCGAGAGCAAGGCCCACGTGTTTGGTTTTTATATCCAACCTGGCTGCCCAACTCCACCTTCAGGTCCCAGCCACCCTCCCCTTGGTGGTGATGGGATTTGTCTTTCCCAATGTCCTGATGGCTTTAGTCTGGAGTGGGGGTGGAGTCCACAAAGCCTGTATGAGATTATCTCAGGACATCCTTTCCCCCTAACAATAACTCCCCTTATACTTATCAAATTATTGACATGTTATCAGCCACTTGGATGACCCCTTATGACTGGCATAATCTTGCCAAGACTGTTCTTCCTTCAGGGATGTATGTATTATTTCGCATGGAATATGAGGACCAAGTACATGCCTTCCTTAAGAAACACGATGATGAGGTTAAGGCTGAGAAAATTTCCCTTTCTATGTTCATGGGAACAGACAAATATACTGAGGTACACAGACAGACTGCCCTACCAAAAAATGTCTTAATCTAAATTAATAAGTTGACTGTAGCGGCATGTAAAAATCTTCCTTCACCTGAACATAAGCCCACTAACCTTACTAATATACACCAACGCCAGGATAAAATGTACCAGGATTTTGTGGCTAGATTAGAAACTGCTCTGGATAAGGTTCTTCCATCTTCCAGAGCATGAGATTTGTTGTTTAAACAACTTACATGGGAAAATGCTAATTCCCTCTGTAAACAACTAATTAGACCTATAAGAAAAACTGGTACCCTTCAAGATTACATTAAAGTTTGCTTAAATGCTTCCCCCGCGACACTAGATCAAGGGTCTGAATTAGAGAAAATAAATAAACTCAAAAACTTATGGCTGTCTGTATCCCTAAATAACATCAAAAAGGACTCAGCTGACAGCCCCGTATTAATAAAACAATTGCCTGAACAGATAGGTCATTTTTGCCTGGCTGGAGGCAAAATGAAAGATGCAAATCAAAAGGTAAAAGAAAAAATAGCCTGCAGTATTAGAAAAAGTGATCAGAATTCTTAGGACAGTGAAATTGTTTTTCAAAAGCCAAAAGTTGATTCTAGAGCCAATACTGACCTCTTTGCAGAGGCATCGGCTCCCAATTACGACACCATTCCAAAATCCAGCCCAAATTTCCAGCTCGGACTTGACTAAAATTGTTGAGATAAAAATAAAAACTCAAAAACAAGTAACAAATAATGTGACATGATCTTAATAAAAGAAAAATGCTCCAATCTTTTCCTGTTAATTATTTGGGGAAGAGGCTAGGTTCCCCCCAGTGAAGATTTTTGCCATTTGTTTCTTTTAAAATAAATAAGACATTTATAAATAATAGTATTCAAAGTTCATTCACAATTGTTAAAGTAATAAAAAAATGGTTAAATATGAATGTATGAGACTATATGACTATAATATAAATAAAAAGTTTTTATTAAAATAGTATAAACCCGCTGCAGTGGGCTGGTGGAGGCTACCCTTGATCTCAACAAGCAGCTGCCTGGACTTTTTCTCCAGTGTTGGGATCACTGACAGGTCTCTACTACCTTCCTGCTGTGGAGGACTGAGCTTTTCTATTATCCACCTTAAATAACTATTTTGGTTCATTCTACAAAAAAAAAAAGTTCCATTTCCCTGTGTTTCTCTAATTTTAAAGTCTAAATTGTCTTAGGCAAAAACTGCTGAGTTACTTTTGATGTGCTAACAAGCTATACAAAATCCTTATTGGTTGAATAAAAGCTTTTAATTTTACTTATTGGACCTGTAAAAGATTATGTTTCTTGTTAAAACAAACTAACCTGGTAAAACATAAAGTGATGATACAGACATTTTTGAGCTAAATTCTAAACCTCAAATTTTACAGGCAGACTGTAAAAATTTACCTCTTCTCCTGTTCTCAAGATAACAGTGTATTTCCCAGTGAAATAATATGTTAACAACCTAAAGCCAAATAATCATTTCTTAAAAATGTAAACTCCAAAAATATTTTCTTATCAAAAAAAAAAAAATTAGTAAATTGCCGTGACTGCTGTGGTCTCCAGCCCTAGGTCTTTGGTAATAATTAAGATTAGACACTTATTCTGTGTACAGATTTTAGCTGTTAACTCATTAAAAACCTCAGTATCTTCACACATATTGGTAAAATAACTGTGTTTCAAAATATATATACATGACCAAAATTTTAAATGTTATCAAGAGATCTCTGTATCTGTTTGTCTGTCTTTGTGTTTGTTTTGTTTTTTACCTCCGGAGGACTAATTATAAATGGCGCCTTTATAAATTATCATAAAACAAATCTTAAAGATCTTTATCAAACAATTTTTTAATAAACAAAAACTAGTTTAAATTTTATAATATAATTCAAAGTATATATGCCTTAAAGTTATGAATACTTTGTTTAAATGTGTTTATTTCAAAAACAAATCTCTGGTATAAAAGGTACTTTTGTCCTTCCTACTGAGTCACATGTATGTGCAAAATGTACATAGTATCTATATGGTGCTCTGATTTTTTTTGTTTTTATTAATTTGCCTAATTGCTTCTTTATTAGCTAGCCTAGAAAAACCTAGGTATGTGCCATTATGTTATTAACAGCCATGCAAAATGGAATTCCAGTCATAACAAACTAAACCTACAACTAAACTTTCAGGTTTACTTTTTGCACCTATTTGTGAAAGCTAAAAATTCTAATGTCATATTACCTTGTGTGTTCACACTTAAGTCATCTAGTACAAACAAATAACAGTATTATAATGCCTTACTGCTAATGAAAGATGTGACAATCCTAAATCGATGTAATGTAAAATGTGTGTTTACAAAGAAAAACATGTATTAAAAATAGATATTTTAATGGTCCGAAAAGTAAAGTGATAAGTATTAAAGCAAATGTTGAAGGTCTAAAAAAATTAAAAAGTAACAAGGCTAAGGAAAATGTTAAAAATCTCAAAGAAATTTTACAAAAAAAATTTTTTTATACTCAAATGATTTATATTTTAGTATTTTGGGAAAACATTAGCTAAAATAATTTTTGGTTAATAATAACTGAGTTTTAATCTAATAGGTTGTTTCAAAACATGTACTTATACACTAACATTGGGTATAATCTTGGCCCTTGTCTAGGTTAATGATTTTGGGTACATAATGTCTTTTAGTGTCTGAAAAACTAAGGTTTTTGAGATGACAATGCCCGCTGCTCCCCTCAGCAGTGTACTTCGGTCCTTCTGCCTGTTCTGCTCCCCGCTCTGGCTCTGGTGAATTCTCTCACCCTCCCGCGCTTCTGACTGTACCCAGTGCATGTATAAACAAAACAAACAAACAAATAAATGAATAAATAAAAACATGCCTCTAAAAAAAAAAAATAAAAAAAAAATAAAGGTTATGATTTAATTGTCAATATTATACTTAGGGCTAAAATTTTTATAGAAATTAAATATGGTTGTTTTTGCTGTTTTCTAAGTATTTATAACACAGCTTCCCAAAAATCTAAATTAAAGTAAAATTTGGTAGCCTGTCATTTAATCAATTAAAGGAAATTTTGTGAAACGTCAGCAGAGCTTTAGAGACACTCCACAAACTTTCTCCTTTTCCTCCTGGGAAGGACATTAGATAAATTTATCCCATCTGGTTTACCTGGTAAAGTTACACTACAAGGGAATCACTGTCACTTGAAAAAATGGTAAAACTCTAATATGTACAAAAATGTTAACATTGGTTTTCTAAAACAAAATCTTTCCATACCTGATATGTATGTAAATTGTCAATGATTATTGTTGCCTTGCAATATTATATACTTCAATGATTTAATGTCTGCAGGACTTGTTTCTCACAATATAAGAAGAAAAGGCCTCAATTGATTCAAAATTATAAACTTTTGAGAGTAAAAATCTTTCTACAAAGGACTGTATAGACTGTTGGATATACACCTGATTTTTACTGTTTTGTTTGGCATAACATTGAAAATGTTTTTACATTTTACCTTGATTCAACAAAGTTTTCTTGTTTTGACTGACCAGACTCTACAGCAATGTTATATACATATATATTTTTTTCTTTTTCTAGCAGAGCTAACTTTTTGTGTGGCTTTGAGTACAATTCTTCCAGGGAGTTGACATAGAGCTAAACTAAAATGTGGAGAAACTGCTGCTTTGTTCGTAGGGTTCCAGACACCTCTGAAAATGATGAGGAAGCTTGCCTCCATTGGCAGGACTAAATAACCCAGTTCCCTGAACAGAAAGCTCTGTCATAAAGCCTGAACTCTTTCGTCTTTTCGCTGCCTTTGATGTACACTTCAAACAACCTGGACAGGACACCGCTAAGATCCCAGTGCGTGCCTACGTTGGATACCCCTTCGCTATACTTCTGGGCAACGCCTCAGCTACACACATTCAATCTCATGGGACTTCTTACTCCATTCATTGTTCCGGTTGCATTGTTACTAATTGTATTACCCCCTCTCTTGCTCGTCTATATCCTGTGGTGGTCTTGCTCAAAAGACCCTCCTATGTTATGTTACCTGTTGATTTACATGATATGCCTTGGTATGATAATACTGCCATGCAAGTTTTAGATGAAGTACATGCTCTTCTTCGTCCCAAACGTTTTATTGCTACCCTTATTCTAGGCATTGCCGCTCTGATTTCCTTAGTTACCTCTTTAGCTGCTTCCTCTGTTGCTTTAATTCAGGAAGCTAAGACAGCTTCTTTTGTAAATGACCTTACCAAAAAACGTGTCCATGGCGCTCGCAATACAGCGGGACATTGATTATAAGTTAGAAAGAAAGTTAAATGCTCTGGAAGAAATTGTTATTGCTATTGGCAATGAGGTTCAACTTTTCAAACAACAACTGTCTACTCGTTGCCATGTTCAGTTTCGTTTCATTTGTGTTACGCCTTTACATTATAACTCTTCCTTACATTGGAATCTTACCAAACATCACCTATTGGGCATCTGGCAAGACAATGACCTTTCTCATGACCTTTCGTCTCTCCAAGCTGAAATTTCTGCTATCAGTAAGTCTCATCTGCACACTTCACTCTCTTCCTTTGCTCATTCTCTAGCTTCCACTCTCCAATCTTTGACTCCTACTCACTGGTATCATC